CATTCAAACAAGTTTTAAATAGTTACCGAAAATATTTAAAGTTCAAAAATATTTTATATGGATAGTCGAATGAGATCGATGATTAGTCGTAAAGGCGCCCATGCTTCATTAAGCCTAGTAGAAACATATGATCGCGGATTTGAATCTCAGATTCGTCCTGCTAAAATGTCTAGGTTGGTCAACACTACATCGGTGCTCGTGGATATCACGAAAGCTGTAAACGTCTGGACCCTTCCTCCCTTCTGACATTCCCCACATGACACGCAGTTTTAACCCTAAACTCACCCACTACTATTCTTTCTTTGTGAATCGACCGCCTCCGTGGTCTAGTGGTAGAGCGTACGCCCGGAGAGCGGAAGGTCCGGGGTTCGATCCCCAGCCGCGTCATACCAAAAGACGTAAAAAGATGGTACTTGTTGTTACCCTGTCTGGCGCGGCTCGGAGTCAGTATACTGTGTCTGAGTGGGGTATTCATGTTAAAACTGCGGCATGGTATCTCAGTGAGCTAGCACTATAAATCGGCATCAGTCCGGACTAGTACAAGCAGCCACACAAACACACACACGTGCATGCACCTCGCTATGTAAGTGCAATAATCTTGGACGCGACGTTAAACCCCATTTCACCTCACCTTCTTTGTGAATCATTTGAACCACTCTGAACGTGGTTGGTTGCCACATCCTGCCATCATTTACACGATGCCTTGATCATTATAAACTATAGAAGTAACTAGAAACTGAAATTGCTCTCTTTCTTTCTTTACAGACAGGAAACGTTTGGTGCAGACAGTGGCCAACGCTCTATTGGTGGGTATCACCCGAAGTGCCGCTGATGGGAAACTCTACTGGACTAACGGCGCCCTCATGGACAGCAACGACATATGGGCTAGTGGATATCCCAAAGCAAGAGAGAGTTGCGGATATACGAACCCTTTCGAATTGATGACATATGGAACCTACAAATGTTTTACTTTCAGTTCTCACTTCATGTGTCAGACACCTGCTTAAGTGAAACTCATCTTCTAATAGTTCATTGGAGGGTTAGGAAAGAACAGAATGTATATTTTATCATAAATACCACTCAGAAAGAACGTTTAAATTCATTATGTAGACATAAAGTTATCATTGTTCATTCCAATTTCCTGAATTACAAAACCTTAAATAATAATCTCTTTTCTCATATACGTTACCCACGCATTGGACATAAGAACACAAGCTCCGTCATAATAAGCTCCGTCAGCTTCGTAATAATATTCGCGTTCCATCTCAGTAATGTCTTGGCACACCATGTAAATCAGACAGGCACTCCTTAAAGTTTGAGGATATTACTTGTAGGGACATGACCATATGGTGCGTGTTATCTGTATATTCGTTGTTTTTTTATTAACATTCCCAAATACAATAAAGATGCATTAAGTACCAACAATTTGAAAACTATCTTTGTATTGTGCTGTAGAACCTATTCGATTGTGAGTAGATGTAGGGTTACACAGAATTCAATCTACCGTCCACCTCTTTATCTATGATTGGCATCTGCATCGCCATTAAGTTGTTTTACGATTTTTTAATATTTTTATGAACTTAACCTCAAATTTTGTTTGAACAAGTTCATACATGTTTCTGTTCTGAAAATGTTTTCATTCACTTATTTCTTACCTTCCGTTCGGGTTTGTTTCTGTACCTGGTGTAGGTGTTCTTCACGGAGACTGTGAAAAAGCAGATTGGTACCACCGAAAGAGCCGTCCATCAAAATATTCCGTGATGGAATTCCACAATAATTTGAAAATGGATACCATTCCTAAGTGTCATTTGTATAAGTAAAAAAGATTAAAACATTCCATTCAGTGCGTGGAATGAACAACACTGACCGAAGATGAATATACGTAGAAATATACACCATGTACCTTCATTTCTTACCGGCGGGTACGTCACATCATGAGTCGCAGTTCGCTGTGCAAAGTTGGTCAAATCTGGTCAAACTCAGCTGAATTTTTCCATACATTTACCTGTCCTTGTAATGGGCTTGTGGTATCGATATTTAAATAAATTTGATTGCTGACAAAGGACAAGTCTGTAATTGAACATGGCTCAAATTGCGAGAATATATATTACTTTAATTCGTGTTTCCAAAGCGGACACTTCAAACAGCTGTCAGAGTTACAACCGTCCATCTCAAACTAAGAGACTAAAATTACGTTTTTATTAAGGTAGGAAAGATACCAGAATTATTCTGATCAGACATTCACGTGTTAATTCGTCAAACCGAAATCAGCCTCCAAGTTCTAATAACTGCCATGTTAAAGTTTTATGGCTATTTTGCAGCCACGTGTTTCATCTATTAGCATAAAAAGTACTTGCAAGTATGAGGAACCTAATTCCCATGAGATGGCCAACATTAAATCCGGCTTTTCGTTCGAGTTAGACAAAATTGACCCATGACTGAATTATAGCACCAGACGAACTGTCCTTGCAATACATAATGTCACGTTTATTGTTTTTCCAGCGGCGTTCGTGCTTCCTGAAACAAGCGGCCCCTCGTCAACATTGTTTTGAACTTTCATGGTGCCCTCTACTAGGTACATAATGTTCAGTTCGAGTGAGTTCTTGTTCAGTAACATCGCAATATTGTATATAAACAACCCTGTGTGTTTCCATATGATGACACACAATAAGCCAGAAGACAAATATTAAACACCCATTCATCCTAGCTGTCTGCAAGCAGAAGGTGCTGGTCCCCGTGAAGATCCGGGGTAGAATAGGTCTTCAGCAACCCATGCTTGCCGTAAAAGGCGACTAACGGGATCGGGTGATCAGGCTCCCTGACTTGGCTGATGCATGTCATCGATTCCAATTGCGTTGATCGATGTTCATGATGTAAATCACTGGATTGTGTGGTCCAGACTCGATTATTTACAGACCGCCGTCATATAGCTGGAATATTGCTGAGTGCGGCGTTAAACAACAAACCAAACCAAACCAGAAGGTGCTGGGAACCTTGAATCTGACACAGACTCACACAGGGTAGTATGTAGTAAACCACCTTTGGTTACACATTGACATCTATGTCATGAAACAGACGTCTTTATCCATTTGGGGCGGTCGGGTAGCATAGTGGTTAAAGCGTTCGCTCGTCACGCCGAAGACCCGGGTTCGATTCCCGACATGGGCATAATGTGTGAAGCCCATTTCTGGTGTCCCCCGCCGTGATATTGCTGGAATATTGCTAACAGCGGCGTAAAACCATACTCACTCACTCTTTATCCATTTCGGCAGCATTAGAAACGGAGTAAAAAATAATACACACTGTTTTTTAATCTCACATTAAACCTCAATATATTCATATTCTACAATATTGGTATATCTTATATATGCAAAGTATATATGCGTTTCGCAGCATCATCGCATGGTATCATATGTTATGTTAGAAAATGTTAAAGGATTGTCGATGTTATAACCTATTTAACATCGTTTAATCCTGAATGGCCCATGAGACTTAGGTAACACAAATGTTTCAAACTTTATTATGAAATAAAATAAATCGATAACGTCAAAAGATACCAAAAACGTTGTCCCCAATGTAACACTTACCATCCGTCCTGCAGATGCAGGTAACATTATCGCATTCGATGCAGCTCCCGTGACTCATCCACATGGAACGAGAAACAATAAAGCTAGTAAACGCTACAGTACAGCGAGGGAACGCGAAGATTATTGCGAGGGAACGCAGTACTACAGCGAGGGAACGCAGTACTATAGCGAGGGAATGCTGTACCACAGCGAGGGAACGCGGCACTATAGCGAGGGAACGCGGTACTATAGCGAGGGCAGACGGTACTATTGCGAGGGAATGTTTACCACAGCGAGGGAACATGGGGCGCGAGGGCACATGGACACACGAGATATTCTCGTGACCTTGACCTTTTTCATTTTCCGTTGTGTGTGTGTGCGTGCGTTCGTGCGTGTTTGTGTGTTACGAACAATTTTAGCGAAAAGAGTAGTTTGGTCAGGGTTACGACTTTCAATCGATCTCTTTTCATTATGGCAAGTGTTTTGTCGGTTTTATTCCGACATGAAACATCTGGTTATGTGTTTTCTTTTCTGAGTATATATTCCTTATTTTCGTTCGGGACAGGTAAAACCTAAACCTTGACGTTAAATAAGAACGAGTTCTGTATCATATTTATTTCCAACGATGATATATCGCAGGAGCAGGTACAAATTATTCCACTCAGGTCATAAACGTGATATGAACTTGGAAAGGTCGTTCAATATCCTATCAATATATTTTGAAGATGCAAAACGGACTTTGTATACATGTTGAAAGAAATAAAACCCTATGAAAATAATCATGACGTTTCAGTGGTGTATTCATTTATGTGCTGAAATCACATACATAGTTGTCATTTATTTGAGACTTTACACCAAAACTTCATGAGGCGCACTTATTCACTCTCATTGCGATATGTTCATGGTTGGATTTTGTTTGTTTGCTTGTTTGTTTGCTTGTTTGTTTTTAACCCCGTACTCAGCAATATTCCAGCAAAATTGCGGCAGCCTTTAATAATCGAGTCTGGAGCAGACAATCCAGTGACTGACAACACGAGGCTCTACCTACACAAATGGGATGCGATGAGTCAGTGAGTATAGTTTTACGCCGCTTTTAGCAATATTCCAATAATATCACGGCGGGAGACACCAGAAATGGGCTTCACACATTGTGCTCATGTCGGGAATCGAACCCGGGTCTTCGGCGTGACGAGCGAACGCTTTAACCACTATGCTACCTGACCGCCCCGGGATACGATGACAACAAAACAGGTCAACGAGCCTGACAACCCGAACCAATCAGACGCCTCATACGACGATCACAGTGTGCTTTTGGCCTATATTTCTGTTATTGTTACACAAATCATGTCGCGTCATTAATCAATATAGCAGTGAAGGGTGTATACCCTTGCTAGTCGCTGACATAGCTGATAGATATACAAGACATGAAGTTGACAACTTCAAAAGCGCCTTGGCTTACAGCTGTACATATCTTTCAGTTGTTTCTATTGTCGGTTACTCATGGAAGCGATGATCGAGAGGGTCATTTTCGAGCAATGCCATCCCTGGCTAATACTATTGTAAAGGATTCTGCTTTGTGGGTAAGAGGAAACGTCAGAGTTAAAACTCTATGCGCCATGATGTGTTTGGCGGATGTGTCTTGTAGTTCCTTCTTCTACAGCAGAGACACTGAGAGCTGCCTCGGTCACTGCAACGTCTTCACATCCACAGCAACAGCTACAGCAGCTGCGGGTACTGCTTACTACAAAAAGAACGTACAAGCAGGTAAATGTGCTGTTTACGTATATTATTAGATGTGTGGTTTTTTCGATGAATGTGTTTATCAATAACCCAGGAGAAATATTGACACTGTCAGCATGACTGCAAAACTGAAATACAGCATGCATTTTTTTAGTTGGCAGACAAGTGTCTCACGAATTTAGTCCCATTAAGCCCAGACATTTTTAATTTCAACGCCCTGCAAAGAACAGAATATAAAATTGACAACATCATATCTGTAATCATAAATTATCTCCACACACACAAGTAAAGTCCATTGTACGATTGCGACCATACCCTAAGCATATGTTTATGAATCCCTATCAAATGGTGATGGTACCAGGTGTTCGCGTAAAAGTGAGCGTATCCTGCATCATCGGCGGCACCTATCACAAACACATGCAAAGGTAAGTCAGTTGATCCCCCGACAAAAACACGGGAATAGGGAATTGCATGGGACATTATTTTTGTCACTGATGCATCAAATGTCCTCCACGTCAATCTTTAAACACATTGAAAGCTTGACTGGGGCCTTTCTTGAATGTTGTAACTCTGATCAAACAACCTGTTCAGTGAGAGTCGTAAAACAGTCTTTGAAATCAACATTGGAGGTATTGTCAGTGAGTACAACTACAAACTTTTTATGTAGGGCAGCTAGACTTTGGACAGCTGGCTGAGACAAAATATATTTATTCTCTTTCTTATTCCTCTTGTGCATTCTACCAATGACAACATCACCAAGGTTCATCTTCTCCTTTGGTCCCTGTGTTTGCATATGCTTCGCCAACATCCTTAATAAGTTACAGCTGTGATCCCAAGTTGAAGGAGGCTGCTTGCGATATTTTGGTTCATATTTGAATAACTGAAGAAGGTTGCTTTTGTAAACAATAGAGAAGTCAACTGTGATTATACGACCGACATGTTAGTTGCAGCAGTATAATGAGTCTGGTTCAGCCACAAGTTGTGGAATTTACATCACGAGCTGACAAGTCCACGTTCTGCAACACGCTCCTATAATGGAACAGTTTGGATGAATTTGTGTTCGTATAAGATAATGAAACTGTTGGTGGTTCCTGAAATTTGAAATATTGTGGGATATTTAGGGAAACTGATGAAGATGTGTAGTGAGTTTAACATGAAACATAAACTCATAGTTTAACTGAAAATTTAATAAGTGGATATTCTCAGGATTCTTTTTTTAAATTTGTCTTTACGTTTTACAGAAGAAAATCATTCACTGAACCTTTTTTGATTTTCTGGAAAAAAATGTGTTGCTGATAGAATCGGGGAAAAATATTATCTATACTGAGTCAAATTAAAAACTTCACATTTTTAAAAGTAATCCCATATATGATATACAATGGACAAATGTATCAGAGAAGGTAATTTTTATCATTAATGTCCAAAGAAGGATTTTAATTAACGGTGGTAACCATAATTTGTTCCAAGCACCTACGGTATTCGGTAATAACATCAACAGTTTATAAATTATAAGTCCCAAGCACGAGAATCTGATGGCACACAAGTTCTGTAGCGTGTATGGCCACCATGTGCGTTGACAACTGCCACACAACGCCTCCGCATGGACCTTGTGCTGCTTGTGAACACATGATTGGGAAGACGACGCCATTGTTGCTGCAGACATCTGCCAAGAGCATGCCAGACGTGTTCGATGTGATTGAGGTCGGGAGACCTTGACGGCCAGCCCATGACGTTGACTCCCGCATTCTGAAGGAAATTCCTTGTCAAAATTGCTGTGTGGGGTCTGGCATTGTCGTATTGGAAGATCAAACCGGGTCCATGTCCTGCCATAAAAGGCAGAAGTTCTGGTGCCAGTACCTGGTCGCGGTAAGCAGCAGCGTTGAGGTTGCCACGGATGGCAAGAAGCCTGGAACGTGCATTGCCTCAGAAAGCACCCCATACCATGACACTTCCGCCTCGAAATCTGTCAACTTCCTGTACACAACACTGGGCGTAACGTTCATGACGGCGCCTCCACAACCTCGCCCTACCATCAGCAAATCGAAGATTAAATCGGGATTCATCACTGAAGACGACTTTGATTCCAATTCCTCGTCCATCGTAAGTGTCGCTGGGCCCACAATTGACGTTGACGTCTGGCCGTCGTGCTTTAAGGTGAGCAGTTCTCAGACGGTTTCGAACAGTTTGCGCACTCAGTCTACCCCTAAACAGTTTATTTCTAGTTGATGTAGCCGTCAAAAATCGGTTACGGAGGTGACGTAAGACAATCTGACGATCCTCTGCATGTGAAGTCACACGTGGTTGACCTGGCCGAGGGCGATCAGCGGTGGTACCCGTTTGCTGTAGACGCGTCTGTAAATCATGAACAGTCCGTCGACTACAACCCATCGTCCTTGCGACTTCAGCTACGGACGTTCCCGTCTGCAACATGCCGATGGCATGTTGACGTTGCACATTTGAAAGGCGTGACATGACACGTGTTTTTCTTTTTTTGTTAATGACTGCTAACAAGTATGGCTGAAAACACGTGCGGTATTATGGCCACGTGACCAGTTGCACGTGAAAAACACTTTTGCCACTATAGTGCTGTGCACACGATTTTGATTGATTCACCTGCACAAAAACGAGTGTTATCTGAAGACAATACGTGTCCATTACTGTTTAAATACACAATAAGGGCCCACAATGATAACTGGTCAAAATGTTAAAATTTTAGGCTTGTGAAGTTTTTAATTTGGTTCAGTATATTTTGAAAAAAGTTTAGTTTTTGAAAATGTGTATTTTGAGCGTTAACTAAACACATATTATGTCTTTTACAAACGCCTCAAGCCCGAGGAACAGTGACATGTCGCTCTTTTTAACGTTTTCTGTGTTTACCAACCTAAACTGATTTACCCACCTGAACTAGAATAAAGGGAACCAGTGGGACAGCCTCGTATGTCTCATATTTCGATCTATGCATAAACATTCAGAGTGACAAATCACTCTCCACAAGACTGTATGACAAGGGTGATGACTTCACCTTTCCAATAATCAACGTTCCCTTCATGTCCATCGATATATTTCATCAGCTGTGTCATTTCACAACTTTTGAGATACAATCGAGCATGCTCTTTCTACCAATATTTCAAAGAGCGTCATGCAACTCTTGCTCAAAAGTTGTTTGATGAAGGTTACAGCATTCAAGGCCTCAGTAAAGCTTTCAAAAAAGTTATATGGTAGACATGTTGAGGACATTTCCAAATTTGACGCATCAGTGACAAAATTGATGTCCGATGCATTTCCCTATTTTGACTTGTACCATATGTTCCCGTGTTTTTTCATGTGAACAATTGACTTGCCTTTGCAAGTGTTTATGACGGGTGCCACAGGTGGGGCAGGATACGGCCACCTTTTCGCGAACTCCTTGTATTATTACTATTTGATAGTGATTCATAAACACATAAACACATGCTCATGATATAGTCGGAATTGTACATTCGACTCTGATTTATGCAGGTGATTTCTATTGGATATTGAAAGGGTTTTGTCGCTTTAGTTATCGTGATGGGTTCCACCGTAGGGGCAGGATGCCTGGTATCATCACTACTTTGTAAAGTGATCCATAAACACATGCTAATGATATAGTCGGAATCGTAATCTACTTCTGTACGGTTTCCTTACTTGTGGGGTTATGTGATTTAGTGGGTAGTGATTCTAGCTAGCCAGATGTTTATCATATTCACAACAACTTTAGGGATATTAAGGGTGTGTGTGAGAGAGAGAGAGAGAGAGAGAGAGAGAGAGAGAGAGATATATATATATATATTGCTAGTACCAGCAAATGTTCTGCCAAATCCTTGTATCAATGATTAACCACAATCCTTAATTCAAGGAGAGAGAGAGAGAGAGAGAGAGAGAGAGAGAAAGAGAGAGAGAGAGAGAGAGAGAGAGAGAGAGAGGGAGGGGAGCTATATCACGGCGTGGCAGCTTAATGTTGGAGGAAAGCCCAAAGTGATGCGGGTCTCAGACGTTTACCACTTTGGTGAAACCAACGGGCACGAATATGGTGCTGACAACATTTAAACATAATCGGGGCGAACGGGGATTCGAAACCATAATCACAGTGAATTGCCGTGCCTGATGCGACTGGGCCTGAAAGTAAAAGAACTCAAATTTAATATGTACTGACTTTGTGCCTTTTGACTTATGTTTATATATATACTCAACACACTCGTGTATAGTTCAATTTATTTCACCGTATTCATACCCCGGATTTCTGGCTGAATAATAAATGGGCGCCGAAGTGAGAACGTAAAGAATATCAGCACAGTGCACCTTTTTCGACCACCAGAGAAATGATTAATTTGCCTGACTAAATACACTGGCAAAACGCAAGAGAGCTGCTGGAATTGTCTTGAAGTACAAAGACGCGCAAAGTTGTGCTTGGCATTCAAAAGGCTTCGGAGACGCGTGTGATTACTATTCGATTTATTCGAAAACATTTCTTGTATCCGTACCAGTATATGTGTGTGGGGGGGGGTGGGGGGGGGGGGGGGTGGGGGGGGTGGGGGGGGGGGGGGGTGTGTGTATGTGTGGGGGTGTGTGCGTGCGTGTATGTATGTGTGCGTGCATAAGTGTGTGTATGTGTGTGTTTATGAGTGAATGGATACGAGAGTCTGGCTGATTAGTACATGTGCGGTTGAAAGAACGTAAAGAATACCAGCAGAGAAAAGACTGATTTGCCTGACTAAATACACTAAACAATTCAACCCCAGAGGGGTGGAATAGTCTTTACTTGGAAAATTACAAAGACGCACAAAATTCTGCTTGGCAAAGCGTAAAATATTTCAAAAGGCTTTGGAGAAGGGTGTAATTACTGTTCGATGTTGCTTTGTATTCGTATCCGTTATTGTATCCGTTGGTATACTGCCACGCAAAAGAAACGCAAGTGGTTTTAAGCAAATAGGTAACAAACAAGGAACCATAAATTGATACGAGTTTTAGCATGTGGTGAAGCCTGATGGTGTTATCAATATTTTTTGTTGCATTTTGGAAGCCCCGAGTAAAATCGCAACATAAAAAACGAATCGCCAAAACGCACCATTTCAATGAATATGTGGGTATCATGCACCCATTTCTCGCGAAATCGAAAATGCACGAACTGTCACGAACTGTAGTGGGTATAAAACTGTGGCCGATTCTTGGACCTACCACTCCTTGGTCAACAATGCCACGCCTAACTCAAATTCAGAGAAACCAGGCTATCGGACGTTTGGAAGCTGGACAGTCTGTCCAAGATGATGCCCGTCATTTCAACGTTAACATAGCCACAATTTACCGTCTCCTGCATCGATACAATGCTACACAGACCACAGATGACCTTCCTCGGAGCGGTCGTCCTAGGGTCACCACACCTCGACAAGATCGGCAGATTACCCGTCAACACCAGCGACATCCGTTCCTAACTGCAAGTGAAAGTGCTCGACAGACCATAGGAACACATAATCGACACATTAGCCGGGACACTGTGATCCGACGTCTCCGTTCCAACAACCTCAGATGTCGCCGACCAGCACGTCGTCCTGTTCTCCAACCACGGTATCGACAAGCACGACTTCAGTGGGCACAGGGTCATCACAATTGGCGTCATCGTGAGTGGAGGCGTGTCATCTTCTCTGATGAAAGTTGCTTTTGTGTCTCCAATGCAGACGGAAGAGTCGTTTCGCTGACAGGAACGTTGTGGAAAGGGATCCATGGGGTGGACCCCTACCGTCATGATATGGGCATGGATTGGCCTTAATGCGAGACTTGGACCCATGTGCTTTCTGAATGTTGGTCAAGGTCGGCGTCACTGCTCAGCGGTATATCGACCAAGTGATCAGACCCCACGTTGTTCCATTTGTTGCACAACATCAACAACACATTTTCAAGCAGGACAACTCTCGTCCCCATGTTGCTAGAGCTGCCATGGCCTTTCTGCAACAACACAACATCCGTGTTCTACCGTGGCCAGCCCTCAGCCCTGATCTGAACCCCATCGAACACTTGTGGGGTGAGGTTGAAAGGCGTCTGCACAATGTGCGCCCAGTCCCTACAACTGCCGATGAACTACGCACAGATGCTCTGGATGTGTGCAGGAGGATTCCTAGGGCCTTCACAAATCGTCTGATCCACTCAATGTACAGGAGATGTGTGGCAGTGATCAATGCTAATGGTGATCACACCAGGTATTGACTGACATTTTGGGTATTGACCCGAAACTGTGTAAGCCCTTAACATTTGAAATTTTTTTTTTATGTCATCTGACTTTTAATCCATTAAACTGTCTTCAGTCAAATCTTTGTCAATCTTGCCCTATTAGTATTTCTTGTCTTTACTGTTGAAAATAAATAACATGTATACTGCATACTCGACTTGCGTTTTTTTTGCGTGTGAGTATATATATTTATGTTCCACCTACAGAGTGACGAACTGTGACCCTTTTTTGCATCCCACATTTTGTATGTATGTGTGTGTGTCTGTCGGTGTGTGTATGTGTGTCTCTCTGTGTGTATCTGAGTGTGTGTGCGTATGTGTGTCTGTGTGTATGCGCCTATGTGTGTTAGTTTGTGTATGTACGTATGTGTATCTGTTTGTGTGTATGTGGGTGTGTCTCTGTGTTTGTGTGCGTGTTTGTGCGCGTGCGTGCGTGTATGTGAGTGTTAGTGTGGCCGTGCGTGTGTGTGTCTATGTGTATGTGTTTCACAACGTGTGTGCAAGCTTGCGCGTGTGTGTGTGTGTGCGCGTGCGTGCGTGCGTGCGTGTGTGTGCGTGCGTGTGTGTGTGTGTGTGTGTGTGTGTGTGTGTGTGTGTGTGTGTGTGTGTGTGTGTTTTCGCTTATAGCAATACTGAACCAATATCACTGCAGAATACACAAGAAATGAGTTTCACACAATGTAAGCATGGGGACAATTGAACCCAGGTAGTCGCCATGAAGTGCAAGTGTTTCAACCAGTCAAGTTACATTCTCACCCTTGTATCCTGTAGCCTTATCATGTGAATTAACCATGGTTGCATGGCTACATACAGCTTGGATATCAAGTTACATTCACTCACCCTTGTATCCTGTAGCCTTATCATGTGAATTAACCATGGTTGCATGGCAACATACAGCTTGGATATCAAGTTACATTCTCACCCTTGTATCCTGTAGCCTTATCACGTGAATTAACCATGGTTGCATGGCAACATACAGCTTGGGTATCAAGTTACATTCTCTCACCCTTGTAGCCTGTAGCCTTATCATGTGAATTAACCATAGTTGCATGGCTACATGCAGCTTGGGTATCAAGTTACATTCTCACCCTTGTATCCTGTAGCCTTATCACGTGAATTTACCATGGTTGCATGGCTACATACAGCTTGGGTATCAAGTTACATTCTCACCCTTGTATCCTGTAGCCTTATCATGTGAATTAACCATGGTTGCATGGCTACATACAGCTTGGGTATCAAGTTACATTATCAACCATGTATTCTAAAGTTATTCTTATCGACCGACCAAACCATAGCTTCATGGTCACATTCACGTTGAGTAACAGATATATCTTGTAACCATGTTCTTGACATTGTTTTCTGGCCTAGGCACAGAAGCAGACGGATGTCTAACGTCATCAAATGCGATAGCCACAACTACAGCAGCAGCGACAGTAATTACTTCTGACACCACAGCATTATCGACAGTCTTGCTCACTACAACCATGCCCCTTACCACAACGCCGGCAACTTCAATTGCAGCTACTTCACCTCTTACAGCTGCAACTTCATTCCTGACACTTGCCACTACAACTATTACCACCCCAACAGGAATCCCTACAACTACCCAAACAACTACATCTCAGACCATTTCTGCTAATGCTCCAGCTCCAACCACTACAACTATTACCACCCCAACAGGAATCCCTACAACTACCCAAACAACTACATCTCAGACCATTTCTGCTAATGCTCCAGCTCCAACCACTACAACTATTACCACCCCAACAGGAATCCCTACAACTACCCAAACAACTACATCTCAGACCATTTCTGCCAATGCTCCAGCTCCAACCACTACAACTATTACCGCCCCAACAGGAATCCCTACAACTACCCAAACAACTACATCTCAGACCATTTCTGCTAATGCTCCAGCTCCAACCACTACAACTACAACTACCATCACCACCACAACAACAACTCCTACAACTACAATTACGAATCCTACCAATACAGCTACAATCACCGCTACAACAACTCCTACCACTACAACTACAACTACCATCACCGTTACAACAACAACTCCTACCACTACAATTACGAATCCAACCACTACAACTACAATCACCACTACAACAACAATTCCTACCACTACAATCATGATTCCAACCACGACAACGCTAACGACCATCACCACTACAACAGCATCTCCTACCACTACAATCACAATTCCAATCACGACAACTACAACTACAACAACCATCACCACTACAACAACAACTCCTTCCACTACAATATCGATTCCAACCACGACAACGCTAACTACCATCACCACTACAACAACTCCTACCACGACAACCACGATTCCAACCACGACAACTACAACTACCATCAGCACTACAACAACAGCTACTACCACTACAACCACGATTCCAACCACTACAACTACCACCACCACTACAACAACAGCTCCTACCACTACAACCACGATTCCAACCACTACAACTACCACCACCACTACAACAACAGCTCCTACCACTACAACCACGATTCCAACCACGACAACTACAACTACTACAACTTCAACCCCCACTACTACAACCACTACAACTACTACCACAACAACTACAACTACTACCACAACAACTACAACGCCTGTGATTGTATTAGGTCCTGTCACGTACACGTATTACCACTACACATTACCTTGGGAATCAGCTCGCGCAACATGTCAGAACAATGGCGGCGATCTTGCCTCTCTGGACTCTGCACAGCGACTACAAGACGTCATCGACTATTTCAGTGGTACGTGAAATCTTGTATCCCACCAAAGATAAAACATTCCAAAACATTCCGAAGTCAATTAATCATTGACAACAAAACGATGATTTCATTGGGCTCTCGTTCATAAAATAATGCATACACATTCGTACCTTTTACGATATATTTTGTAACTAAAAAGAATTAATCTCCTATTATGCATAACTATATAAAATACTAGAGGAAGTCATTACCTTCTGGCTTTTATAACTCGCACATGTATATAAAAGGACCCATCAAATAGAAAACATTCCAAAACATTCCGAAGTCAATTAATCAAAGACAAAACAATGACAATAAAACATTGATTCACGGGAGATTGAAACAAAATACACCCTTTCAAATTGCAAGCACAACAATAACGCATAACATTGAATTCGGGGATATCACCTCGAAGTGAGTCCGTCATTCCAGTCAACATAAATAAAGAAATCTTTCAAAACGTCCACTCCTCCTCAACGAACAGGAACAATATTTCAGTTTTAACATAACATATGTCTAAGATGACGCTAATCATCAGTACTCCTTCCATGTAAGTCCACGTACACGCAACAACGTGACACCTTCTTAAGAACAAATGCAACGTTTTATACGTAACGCCAAAAGAAACGCGAACTATAAAATCATATACAGAAGTTATTACCTTAGAAGAGATGTTTCCAGTGTGTATCACTTAAAAACAAAACTAACAATCAGTCAAGTGTTACCACAGGGTGTCTTTATTCCTATCACGATATGCAGCACGTGATTTCCAAACTTAACACGCTAATCCTACACAAGACAAATGGTGCATCTCGAGTCATGGATCTATGACGTCACATGTGATGCGTTCATGAGCGTCGGCTCACACAACATAACAGTACATGTATATTCGTTTGTGCATCGAACCAATCTGATGTCTCTTGAAAAGGAGTTATTCTTCCTATATTAACCAACATATATGGTATTCGCGTTTCTTTTGTCGGTGAGTATATATAGAAGATGACAACTTTTGGTCTTTTATATCAGCTTACAGATCGATGGGGAAATCTGTTTACAATTCTGTGTATGCTGGCATGAAACGGAGCTCCTCCAACAGCGTGCTCTACTGGAACAGTGGCAACACCGTTGGCAGCGTCACCGTCTGGGCATCTGGCTACCCACGTGTGAGCGATGGTTGTGGGTACACATCGCCATTTGAAAGTTTTCAGATGCGGACCGTTTATTGTACCCAAGCTTTAGCCTTCCTGTGTGAAACACCAATCGTCGCTGTCCCGACTACAACGCCTGTGATTGTATTAGGTCCTGTCACGTACACGTATTACCACTACACATTACCTTGGGATTCAGCTCGCGCAACATGTCAGAACAATGGCGGCGATCTTGCCTCTCTGGACTCCACACAGCGACTACAAGACGTCATCGACTATTTCAGTGGTACGTGGAATCTTGTATCTCACCAAACATAAAACATTCCGAAGTCAATTAATCATGGGCAACAAAACGATGATTTCATTGGGCTCTCGTTCACAAATAATGCATACACATTCGTACTGTTTACGGTATATTTTGTAACTAAAAAGAATTTATCTCCTATTAAGCATTACTATATTAAATGCTAGAGGAAGTCATTACCTTCTGGCTCTTATAACTCGCACATGCATATAAAAGTGACAAAGAACTGTCCATATTCATAAAATAATCTCTCCTAAAGCAGAGACGATTGTAAGATTCCGACTATTTCCATCATCTATATCTTCTGGGCTCGCATTTCGGTAAACCTCTGTAGGTTTACCCAAGATGCGAAAACTGGAGATATAGAGGATGGACTATATCAAGAGTAAGCATGTGTTAATGAATCACAATCAAACCACATCTGCATTTAGTCTACATTGCAATAGGTTTTACATTACTTGAAGTGTCACAAAAGTTTCATTACAAACACGAAGACTTAAACCTGCGAGGACACTTTCCATCACTAACCCTTTTGCCAATACATGAAATGTACATTGATTCTCGGGAGATGGAAAGAAATACACCCTTTCAAATTACAAGCACAACAATAACGCAAAACATTGAATTCGGGGATATCACCTCGAAGTGAGTCCGTCATTCCAGTCAACATAAATAAAGAAATCATTCAAAACGTCCACTCCTCCTCAACGAACAGGAACAATATTTTAGTTTTAACATAACATCTATCTAAGATGACGCTTATCATCAGTTCTCCTTCCATGTAAGTCCACGTACATGTACACGCAACAACGTGACACCTTCTTAAGAACAAAATCAACGTTTTATAAGTAACGCCAAAAGAAACGCGAACCCTAAAATCATATACAGAAGTTATTACCTTAAGTAGAGATGTTTCCAGTGTGTATCACTTAATAACAAAACCAACAGTCAGTCAAGTGTTGTCTTTATTCCTATCAAGATATGCTGCACATGATTTCCAAACTTTACACGCTAATCCTACACGAGACAAATGGTGCATATCGAGTCATGGATCTATGACGTCACATGTGATGCGTTCATGAGCGTCGGTTCACACAACATAACAGTATGTTTGTTTGTGCATTAACCAATCTGATGTCTCTTGAAAAGGAGTAATTCTTCCTGTATTAACTAACATATATGGTATTCGCGTTTCTTTTGAGGGTGAGTATATATAGAAGATGACAACTTTTGGTCTTTTATTTCAGCTTACAGATCGATGGGGAAATCTGTTTACAATTCTGTGTATACTGGCATGAAACGGAGCTCCTCCAACAGCGTGCTCTACTGGAACAGTGGCAACACCGTTGGCAGCGTCACCGTCTGGGCATCTGGCCACCCACGTGTGAGCGATGGTTGTGGGTACACATCGCCATTTGAAAGTTTTCAGATGCGGACCGTTTATTGTACCCAAGCTTTAGCCTTCCTGTGTGAAACACCAATCGTCGCTGTCCCGACTACAACGCCTGTGATTGTATTAGGTCCTGTCACGTACACGTATTACCACTACACATTACCTTGGGATTCAGCTCGCGCAACATGTCAGAACAATGGCGGCGATCTTGCCTCTCTGGACTCCACACAGCGACTACAAGACGTCATCGACTATTTCAGTGGTACGTGGAATCTTGTATCTCACCAAACATAAAACATTCCGAAGTCAATTAATCATGGGCAACAAAACGATGATTTCATTGGGCACTCGTTCACAAATAATGCATACACATTCGTACTGTTTACGATCTATTCTGTAACTAAAAAGAATTTATCTCCTATTAAGCATAACTATATTAAATGCTAGAGGAAGTCACTACCTTCTGGCTCTTATAACTCGCACATGCATATAAAAGTGACAAAAAACTGTCCATATTCATAAAATAATCTCTCCTAAAGCAGAGACGATTGTCAGATATCGACTATTTCCATCATCTATATCTTCTGGGCTCGCATTTCGGTAAACCTATATAGGTTTACCCAAAGTGCGAAAACTGGAGATATAGAGGATGGACTATATCAAGAGTTAGCATGTGTTAATGAATCACAATCAAACTACATCTGCATTTAGCCTACATTATAATAGGTGTTATATTACTTGAAGTGTCACAAAAGTTTCATTACAAACACGAAGAGTTAAACCTGCGAAGCCACATTCAATCAATATCCGTTCTGCCAATACATGAAATGTACATTGATTCTCGGGTGATGGAAAAAAGACTACCTTTCAAATTGCAAGCACAACAATAACGCATAACATTGAATTCGGGGATATCACCCTGAAGTGAGTCCGTCATTCCAGTCAACATATATAAACCATTCAAAACGTCCACTCCTCCTCAACGAACAGGAACAATATTTCAGTTTTAACATAACATCTATCTAAGATGACGCTAATCATCAGTACTCCTTCCATGTAAGTCCACGTACACGCAACAACGTGACACCTTCTTAAGAACAAAATCAACGTTTTATACTGTACGTAACGCCAAAAGAAACGCGAACTATAAAATCATATATAGAAGTTATCACGCGAGTGTGTTTGGGGATGGTAAATATCCTGCATTAGGAATAAACATTGTATTTAGCGAGCCTTGGCGAGCTGAATACATAGTGTTCATTCCTAATACAGGATATTTACCATCCCCAAACACACAAGCGTGATAACCTCTTTATCATATAATGTCATTCTTTAATTCTGTGCTTTAAAATCGCTTTCCCTCTCTCACAAACATTACCAAAACATTGCGAGTTTTGCTGGAATGCGCGCATTTATATTTATTACGTCACAGGGTAAGTGATGTGTCAGTCGGACAATGACAGTAGCCAATATTGTTCCAACTAAAATCTGTTTCTTATACAGAGGCGAAGCAACATATACGCAAAACAACAGTTGTTTTTAATTGCCTTTCGCGGCAATTCATCGGTCTGTCCGCTGTGGTAACTGCCCTTTGTCAAAGGGAAGCTACTCTAACCCTAGTCTATGAGACGTCACGGCCACGGTCAGACGATGTTGACAGTCGGTCTGTCCTGTCATAACGTTTAGAAATGTAGTCAGATGTACACACAGCGACAAAACGAAACAAGGTAACAATTCAAACATATTTCGGCCAAATCCAACTATTTTAATTTGTGGAAAAGGTTTCAAGCCGCAGAGGTCTACAAGCACAGATATGGCTACTGATCCCGCTTGGCTAGGCCTCGGGTCGTGCCCTCGCAAAATTGTTTCGAAATCTCCAAAGTTGCCAAAACTTATAAAATGCCTTAGCTACGTCACAGTAAGACACTGAATTTCAGTATATTAGACTGTTTTGTTTTATAATGATAGCAATTATACCTGTAGTTTATTCAGATTCCCGATGGTTAATTCTGACTCGATCGCCGAATGACGAGGGCGACGCCATGTTTGTTTATAAACAGTGAAAGTAGTCCTACTTGACCTTTGATATTTGCATCTCTATCCGCATATGACCCCAACGGATATCGTTTTTATCCGTTGGCTTTATCCTGCCGAGAAACCTACCTATTATATGATAAACAGAAGATATTACCTTAGAAGAGATGTTTCCAGAGTGTATCACTTAATAACAAAACTAACAATCAGTCAAGTGTTACCACAGGGTGTCTCTATATCTATCACGATATGCAGCACGTGATTTCCAAACTTTACACACTTACCCTACACAAGACAAATGGTGCATATCGAGTCATGGATCTATGACGTCACATGTGATGCGTTCATGAGCGTCGGTTCACACAACCTAACAATACATGTATGTTCGTTTGTGCATCGAACCAATCTGATGTCTCTTGAAAAGGAGTCATTCTTCCTATATTAACCAATATACATTAACACGTCCCATTTTAATTCTGGAAACCCAAAAGTCCAGAAACTCTACGCTCTTTGCCCAGTCTCGGTTAAAGGTATTTACAAAATTAAACATGCCGTTTTCATGGGAACATACCAAGGAAGAAAAAATGAAAAAAAATTGTTTAAAAACTCAATATTTAGACTATGTCGCCCATGGGCCTGCCCATGGGCGAAGTCTGGCCCATGGGTAGGCCCATGGGCAGGCCCATGGGCGAGAATATGTTCCTCTACTTAAAACTCATGTTTTTGTTTCGCAAATACATTTAATGTATTCATTCAAGTATCATGACACAAAATTTAACTCATTTTAACTTAATTCAACGATTTTATAGCGATATTGAAATATTTCGCCCATGGGCGAGAAAAAGGTTTGGCCCATGGGCGAGAATATGTTCCTTTACTTAAAACTCATGATTTTGTTTCGCAAATACATTAAATGTATTTATTGAAGTATCATGACACAAAATTTAACTCATTTTAACTTAATTCAACGATTTTATAGCGATATTGAAATATTTCGCCCATGGGCGAGAAAAAGGTTTGGCCCATGGGCAGGCCCATGGGCGAGAATATGTTCCTTTACTTAAAACTCATGTTTTTGTTTCGCAAATACATTTAATGTATTCATTCAAGTATCATGACACAAAATTTAACTCATTTTAACTTAATTCAACGATTTTATAGCGATATTGAAATATTTCGCCCATGGGCGAGAAAAAGGTTTGGCCCATGGGTAGGCCCATGGGCAGGCCCATGGGCGAGAATATGTTCCTTTACTTAAAACTCATGTTTTTGTTTCGCAAATACATTTAATGTATTTATTCAAGTATCATGACACAAAATTTAACTAATTTTTACTTAATTCAACTATTTTACGGCGTTATTAAAATATTTCGCCCATGTTTTCGTCAGTCCCTTTCAAGCATCAACTAATTATAACTGTTTGCAAATTATATTGTATCATGTGAAATATACTTTATATTACATCATTACATTACTATTTAAAAAGGGCTTTTGGTTGGATGTTTCCTTTAGTTCTTCAAATTTCACCTGTTTTACATATTGTAGCGATCTTTAATGAACCCGGCCTTACCTCTCAAAACGTTTTGACAGTTTATCATACGAATTCATGTGCGTGTACTTAAATTCATTGGAGTTATTTTCCACAACATTAAATTTTAGTTAGTTTCTATTTCATTTCCCATTTTATGTCCCGTTGATACATCACACTGGGCAATTACGTGACACTAGGTATGCAATATACAGGTACGCGTGCGCGTGTTTTAATGAAAAAAACTATTCGTCTTTTATTGCATAACGTTTGGCTGAATATCTTACATTCTAACGAAATCTCGAAATAATTATTTAATTACAAGCAGTGTTTCAATGCGATTGAGGAAAACGTGAGTGAATATTGTGACACTAAAGCAACTTTTAACTGCATTGTCACTTTTGGTATGAAAATGGTAACAGTTTAGAAAAAACAACAGCCTTCTTATGATAATTCTCATTAGTACGTTGTATCTAATTACAGTGTCGGCCTTATTTACAGGTGATTCTACAATACCTGCTCTCGGTCAATTACGATCTACCACACCACGCGTGAATAAACAGTTATGCAGGTGTTGCTGTGGGCAAATACCTAGCCTGAAAATGTTTATTTTTTTTAGGATACATGTTTTACAAATGTTCGTTGATATGTGGATATATTAAGCACAAAGACAAAAAAAGTTTATGAAAGATGAATTATATATATTCATCGAGATGTGTATCATCGTTTAATAGGGTCAATCAATAAACGTTTGTTTGGAGGAGCCGCCCAATATACACAGTGTCGTCCGGTGAACTACCCCCCCCCCCCCCCCCCCCCCCCCCCCTGTCCATTAGAGTTATGTAAATATATATTTGATGCGGTGTCAGTGCGGAAGGAGTTTGAATTACGTCCGCCACTTGCCACAGAAATCCTCAAAGTATAGAAACAATAAACAAGGTCAATCCGTACTAATTACCTAGTGACTCACGCAACAACGACTGTCAATAGGGAAAATGGTGAAAACAAATTGAAATAGATTTTAATAAAACATTATTGTACTAAATAACTCGCAAAAGCAGTGCCTAAAATTGTTTGACCGTGTTATGTGTGTTGTAAACTGACGAATAGCAAGTAATTGTCATGCTGTACGCATGGTTCCATATACAAATTCAGTTATACAACCGGTATGAAACTGAGAACTTAGATACCAAGTACAACCTGCATTCACACACGGAAGCAATATACTTGTGTGTATGCCCTCGTCTCTAAAAAATGTATCACTAAAGTATTTGCATTGTAATAAATATAGTAATGATAAAACTTGGTAATTTGGTAGGTCTCCGACAGATATGATTTTCAGTTTTTTTACACCTTTGATTGATACGGATTACGTACATGTAGTCTAGTCACTGTATCTAATGCATCTGCTTGTTAGAAATTTCAAATGTCTTGTTATAGCACTGTTCCTAAAATACGGCAGTTTCTTTTATCGGGTATAAATAGTTGATTCGTCTTGTCACGCAGTCATTTTTACTTGATCGAATGATTTCCACAAAAAATTACGGCAGAGAGTTTTGTATTTTATTATATTTTTAGAAGATTTTAGAAGATGCTTACATCACTGTATCTCAGAACGTAAAACTGATAATATTCAAACATGTAATTAGTACACAGTTAATTGTTACATATAATTTCCTGCATATTCCTTTTTGAACAAAAAGCCTACATGTATACTGATATCGGTGTCCACTGTTAAAAGGGTATTAGTGCAGTCAGCCATGGTAAATGGAGAGACAATAATAAGGTGATTAATTATAGTCTGTTGCAGAATATGCGGTATAAGTGTAGTCATGGATACATATACACATTACACATATACAGATGAAATACACGATATGATGCAGTGCAAGAACAAATTAAGATACGGTTTCTATTAAAAATATTTATACGATTTTGGATTTAATTAGCATGTTTAAATTTTCATGCCAACACGGCTGAGATACAGCATCGGCATACTCAACTGAAGTTGTTTTCTGCCGGTCGTAAGTTCATTGTTTGACTGAGCACACTCGTGTCGGGGTTGCGATATTTTCTTCTCTTTGTTGGCAGCCTGCCACCGGTCTGAATTTTGAGAAAGGTCTCAGCATGGGACTGTTAATTACTTCTTAATGATGTCTACAAGCTTACAAACTTGTAGATGTTGGGTGTGGTTGGGACCAAACTTTTTCAGCTCAGAGTGTTAGTGGTCCTGGAACCCATAGTGTCAAACAGGTTCTGCACAAAACGTCCATCAGATTCTACTGTTCAGCAACATTGTCACTGAATTTCAGAACTCTGGCATGATATAATAATCAAGGATTTCGAAGGTGAACGAGGGGAAAGGCAGACGCACGTGGATTTATCCTCAGGTTATTATTGTCTGGAGTTCACATTTTGGGGCATTTCATATACTAATTGAACAGAGTTCACCTGCACATGTCCACTTTAGTGATACAGACTGTAACCAAAAATGCAATGAGCCGTAGCTCTTAATCCCTTATAACAACGGTAACAACAACCAGGGTGAGGACACAGTAAGGTTAAACCGTGTCCAACAGACAATCTGAGGTGGCTATCTCCCATCAAGTCAGCTCTGTTTTTAAGCGCATAGTTATGATTTTACATATTGAAATAAAAGGATTTTAAAAAATTATATTTAACAAACCTACACATTGCCAAATACAAAACTTTATAACCCTTTCTAGACTTCGTTCCAATTAACCTGGATCATTCAACTCGCTCGCGAAGGTCGTATGCGACTTTAAAGTGAATACGTCTACAGTGTACAAGTAACTTTTAACTGTATCATATATACTCATGATATGCAATTATTTTCGTTCCTAATTCGAATGAGCACATTCTGAGGCTAAATCTGCAAAAGGACAGATAAAATATTTCTTTGTACAATGCAAACGATACAAACGTAGCGGCTGATAATAGAGACAATGATTTAATAATCTGCAATATATCAAGTGTTCTCGTTCAATCTATTGTACATATTGAAGTGATTGTAAAGTTTCAAGGAGTACTAAAATGTTGTGGTATTATGAATGTATTTAGAATATGAATAGCGAAAAACAGTCACCATATCGGATGTACATGTATAACTTGTCTTCCAACACCACGCTTGTGCCGAGGCCCATGGTAATAAAACTAATCGGTCCCATAAAAGGAGCAAATAGTTTCGCAGATACTTCTTGCTATGGTTCACTCCCAATTGTCAGACGACCTAATCATCAGTCAGACCAGTCAGGTGTGACCAACGTACCTGCCTGGTTTTGGCTCCTAATTACTGAACTGCCCAATACGGTCATACTGTGGGCAGAGTAAGCGGCCTCGTTGAGTGATACAGACTAACCAGATTATGATTGTGTTTGTAAGTTGCGTTTAATCTGTGTCGGGTTGCAGTTGTTTTATAAGTCAAGACTAGGGGTAGTTTTTTAAATGAAACCTTTTGAGTTTGTTTTGCATTCATTTCATTAAATACATTGTTAGGTAGAATAATAACACGTTATATGGATTAAACATCTCCCTAATCTGAGTATAATCTCACATGTACTCTAAGTACCGTGCTATATTACTTTGCGGAGACACTGAGTATAATTTTTTAGTTGGCATTGTATGCTGTCTGAATGACTTTACACAAATCCCTGCATTCAATAGACCCGTGAAGATCTTCAACAAACCATTCTTGGCGTAAAAGGGCGACAGCGCTTGTCGTAAGAAGCGACTACCGGGATCGGGTGGTCAGGCTCGCTGACTTGGTTGATGCATGTCATCGTATCGCAATTGCGTGGATCGATGCACATGATGTCAATCACTGGATTGTCTGGTCCAGACTCGATTATTTACAGACCGCCGTCATACAGCTGAAATATTGCTAAGTGTGGCGTTATACAACTAACAAACAAACACAACACAAAAAGAGAAAGTGTATGAGTACTAAAACTTGCAATAGATATGCGTACCCTACGTACACACATGAGTCCCATTCGACAGTCTACAACACACGAATAACTGTCAAACAAGTTTGGGTACCCCTTCTGTTCAGGCAAGTTATTTAGTTCGATAATTTTGTATTAAAATCCTTTTCAATTTGTTTTCATCCTTTTTCCCTATTCCATGCATGTTTATGTTGCTACATCTTATTGCTCATGTTTCCAAGTATTGTAAAACACTTTAATGTTTCTCCTTCTTAATCTAACGTTATAACATTTCCGGTCACTGCCATCATCTAATACACAAGAGATGATACCAAGACATATTTTATTCGGTTTTATGGTCTATGCGGTCTTACAATTGATTTTATTAGTCTTTAAATCTTATGTCTAGTAAATATTTTCACAAACAGGGCTGTTAACTGATATAAGGAATGTAACATCCAGTTGAGGACTGAATACGACGTACGTTAGTCTGGTAACGACATTTCTACAATTAATATTTTGAATAAGCCGTTAATACGCCAGTTGTGACAGGGATGATGGTATGGTAGATGTAGCAGACATATTGACAGCCGTTGTTACGCGAGTCACTAGGTTATTAGTACGGCATTGGCCTTGTTGATTGGTACTATACTTTCTGTGGCCACTGTCGGACGTAATTCAAACTCCTTCCACACTGACATCGCACCAAATATATTTGTGTACCGATTACATAACTCTTACTGACAGGGTAGGGTGGTAGTTCACGCGAAACGGACGACACTGTGTATATTGGGCGGCTCCTTTGATATCGCCTCACAACATACTTTTAATGAATGACCAATTAAACGATGATCAGGATCGCGGAGAAAATACAAGCTTCGTTCGCGTTGAATATATATATCAAGCCACAAATTCATCTTTCATAAACTTTTTGTGTCTTGGTGCTTAATATATCCACATATCAACGAAAATATGTAATACATGTATCCACAAAAATATACATGTACAGGCTAGGTATTTGCCCACAGCAACACCTGCATAACTGTTTATTCACGCGTGGTGTGGCAGATTGTAATTGACCGACAACAAGTACTGTAGATTCACCTGTAAATAAGGCCGACACTGTAATTAGACACAACGTACTAATGAGAATATGAGAATTATCATAAGAAGGCTGTTACGTTTTTCTTAACTATTACCATTTTCATACCAAAAGTGACAATGCAGTTAAAAGTTGCTTTAGTGTCACAATATTCACTCACGTTTTCCTCAATCGCATTGAAACATAATTCCTACTGGTCAGTTCGACACTGCTTGTAATTAAATAATTATTTCGAGATTTCGTTAGAATGTAAGATATTCAGCCAAACGTTATGCAATAAAAGACGAATAGTTTTTTTCATTAAAACACGCGCACGCGTACCTGTATATTGCATACCTAGTGTCACGTAATTGCCCAGTGTGATGTATCAACGGGACATAAAATGGGAAATGAAATAGAAACTAACTAAAAAATAATGTTGTGGAAAATAACTCCAATGAATTTGAGTACATGCACATGAATTCGTATGATAAACTGTCAAAACGTTTTGAGAGGTAAGGCCGGGTTCATTAAAGATCGCTACAATATGTAAAACAGGTGAAATTTGAAGAACTAAAGGAAACATCCAACCAAAAGCCCTTTTTAAATAGTAATGTAATGATATAATATAAAGTATATTTCACATGATACAATATAATTTGCAAACAGTTATAATTAGTTGATGCTTGAAAGGGACTGACGAAAACATGGGCGAAATATTTTAATAACGCCGTAAAATAGTTGAATTAAGTAAAAATTAGTTAAATTTTGTGTCATGATACTTGAATAAATACATTAAATGTATTTGCGAAACAAAAACATGAGTTTTAAGTAAAGGAACATATTCTCGCCCATGGGCCTGCCCATGGGCCTACCCATGGGCCAAACCTTTTTCTCGCCCATGGGCGAAATATTTCAATATCGCTATAAAATCGTTGAATTAAGTTAAAATGAGTTAAATTTTGTGTCATGATACTTGAATGAATACATTAAATGTATTTGCGAAACAAAAACATGAGTTTTAAGTAAAGGAACATATTCTCGCCCATGGGCCTGCCCATGGGCCTACCCATGGGCCACACTTCGCCAATGGGCAGGCCCATGGGCGACATAGTCTAAATATTGAGTTTTTAAACAATTTTTTTTTCATTTTTTCTTCCTTGGTATGTTCCCATGAAAACGGCATGTTTAATTTTGTAAATACCTTTAACCGAGACTGGGCAAAGAGCGTAGAGTTTCTGGACTTTTGGGTTTCCAGAATTAAAATGGGACGTGTTCATGATTTTATTCGCGTTTCTTTTGTCGGTGAGCATATTTAGAAGATGACAACTATTGGTCTTTTATTTCAGTTTACAGATCGAGGGGATATTCTGTTTACAATTCTGTGTATGCTGGTATGAAACGGAGCTCCTCCAACAGCGTGCTCTACTGGAACAGTGGCAACACCGTTGGCAGCGTCACCGTCTGGGCATCAGGCTACCCACGTGTGAGCGACGGTTGTGGGTACACATCGCCATTTGAAAGTTTTCAGATGCGGACCGTTTATTGTACCCAAGCTTTAGCCTTCCTGTGTGAAACACCAATCGTCGCTGTCCCGACTACAACGCCTGTGATTGTATTAGGTCCTGTCACGTACACGTATTACCACTACACATTACCTTGGGATTCAGCTCGCGCAACATGTCAGAACAATGGCGGCGATCTTGCCTCTCTGGACTCCACACAGCGACTACAAGACGTCATCGACTATTTCAGTGGTACGTGGAATCTTGTATCCAACCAAACATTAAACATTCCAAATAATTCCGAAGTCAATTAATCATGGACAACAAAACGATGATTTCATTGGGCTCTCGTTCACAAATAATGCATACACATTCGTACTGTTTACGATATATTTTGTAACTAAAAAAGAATTTATCTCCTATTAAGCATAACTTTATAAAATACTAGAGGAAGTCATTACCTTCTGGCTTTTATTACTCGCACATGCATATAAAAGCGACAAAAAACTGTCCATATTCATAAAATAATCTCTCCTAAAGCAGAGACGATTGTAAGATTCCGACTATTTCCATCATCTATATCTTCTGGGCTCGCATTTCGGTAAACCTATATAGGTTTACCCAACATGCGAAAACTGGAGATATAGATGATGGACTATATCAAGAGTTATTAGCATGTATTAATGAATCACAATCAAATCACATCTGCATTTAGTCTACATTACAATAGGTTTTACATTACTTGAAGTGTCACAAAAGTTCCATCACAAACACGAAGAGTTAAACCTGCGAGGACACTTACCATCAATATCCCTTTTGCCAATACATAAAATGTACATTGATTCTCGGGAGATGGAAAGAAATACACCCTTTCAAATTACAAGCACAACAATAACGCATAACATTGAATTCGGGGATATCACCTCGAAGTGAGTCCGTCATTCCAGTCAACATAAATAAAGAAATCATTCAAAACGTCCACTCCTCCTCAACGAACAGGAACAATATTTCAGTTTTAACATAACAACTATCTAAGATGACGCTAATTATAAGTACTCCTTCCATGTAAGTCCACGTACACGCAACAACGTGACACCTTCTTAAGAACAAAATCAACTTTTAATACTAGACGCCAAAAGAAACGCGAACCTTAAAATCATATACAGAAGATATTACCTTAGAAGAGATGTTTCCAGTGTGTATCACTTAATAACAAAACTAACAATCAGTCAAGTGTTACCACAGGGTGTCTTTATTCCTATCACGATATGCAGCACGTGATTTCCAAACTTTACACGCTTATCCTACACAAGACAAATGGTGCATCTCGAGTCATGGATCTATGACGTCACATGTGATGCGTTCATGAGCGTCGGCTCACACAACATAACAGTACATGTATGTTCGATTGTGCATCGAACCAATCTGATGTCTCTTGAAAAGGAGTCATTCTTCCTATATTAACCAACATATATGGTATTCGCGTTTCTTTTGTCGGTGAGCATAATTTATTTAGAAGATGACAACTATTGGTCTTTTATATCAGTTTACAGATCGAGGGGATATTCTGTTTACAATTCTGTGTATGCTGGCATGAAACGGAGCTCCTCCAACAGCGTGCTCTACTGGAACAGTGGCAACACCGTTGGCAGCGTCACCGTCTGGGCATCAGGCTACCCACGTGTGAGCGACGGTTGTGGGTACACATCGCCATTTGAAAGTTTTCAGATGCGGACCGTTTATTGTACCCAAGCTTTAGCCTTCCTGTGTGAAACACCAATCGTCGCTGCCACGACTCCAACGCCTGTGATTGTATTAGGTCCTGTCACGTACACGTATTACCACTACACATTACCTTGGGATTCAGCTCGCGCAACATGTCAGAACAATGGCGGCGATCTTGCCTCTCTGGACTCCACACAGCGACTACAAGACGTCATCGACTATTTCAGTGGTACGTGGAATCTTGTATCCCAACAAACATCAAACATTCCAAAACATTCCGAAGTCAATCAATCATGGACAACAAAACGATGATTTCATTGGGCTCTCGTTCACAAATAATGCATACACATTCGTACTGTTTACGATATATTTTGTAACTAAAAAGAATTTATCTCCTTTTAAGCATAACTATATAAAATACTAGAGGAAGTCATTACCTTCTGGCTTTTATTACTCGCACATGCATATAAAAGCGACAAATAACTGTCCATATTCATAAAATAATCTCTCCTAAAGCAGAGACGATTGTAAGATTCCGACTATTTCCATCATCTATATCTTCTGGGCTCGCATTTCGGTAAACCTATATAGGTTTACCCAACATGCGAAAACTGGAGATATAGATGATGGACTATATCAAGAGTTATTAGCATGTATTAATGAATCACAATCAAATCACATCTGCATTTAGTCTACATTACAATAGGTTTTACATTACTTGAAGTGTCACAAAAGTTCCATTACAAACACGAAGACTTAAACCTGCGAGGACACTTACCATCAATATCCCTTTTGCCAATACATAAAATGTACATTGATTCTCGGGTGATGGAAAGAAATACACCCTTTCAAATTGCAAGCACAACAATAACGCATAACATTGAATTCGGGGATATCACCCTGAAGTGAGTCCGTCATTCCAGTCAACATAAATAAAGAAATCATTCAAAACGTCCACTCCTCCTCAACGAACAGGAACAATATTTCAGTTTTAACATAACATCTATCTAAGATGACGCTAATCATCAGTACTCCTTCCATGTAAGTCCACGTACATGTACACGCAACAACGTGACACCTTCTTAAGAACAAAATCAACGTTTTATACGTAACGCCAAAAGAAACGCGAACTATAAAATCATATACAGAAGATATTACCTTAGAAGAGATGTTTCCAGAGTGCATCACTTAATAACAAAACTAACAATCAATCAAGTGTTACCACAGGGTGTCTTTATTCCTATCACGATATGCAGCACGTGATTTCCAAACTTTACACGCTTATCCTACACAAGACAAATGGTGCATATCGAGTCATGGATCTATGACGTCACATGTGATGCGTTCATGAGCGTCGGTTTACACAACATAACTGTACATGTATGTTCGATTGTGCATCGAACCAATCTGATGTCTCTTGAAAAGGAGTCATTCTTCCTATATTAACTAACATATATGGTATTCGCGTTTCTTTTGTCGGTGAGCATATTTAGAAGATGACAACTATTGGTCTTTTATTTCAGCTTACAGATCGATGGGATATTCTGTGTACAATTCTGTGTATGCTGGCATGAAACGGAGCTCCTCCAACAGCGTGCTCTACTGGAACAGTGGCAACACCGTTGGCAGCGTCACCGTCTGGGCATCAGGCCACCCACGTGTAAGCGACGGTTGTGGGTACACATCGCCATTTGAAAGTTTTCAGATGCGGACCATTTATTGTACCCAAGCTTTAGCCTTCCTGTGTGAAACTCCTATTTGAGAAACCAGTTTAATCATTATTGAACTATAACAGACTGAGCACAAAAATAAGGGATCATGAATATGTTATGGGATTCTTTGTAGTGATGCACACAATTCCATAAAAAAATATTTTCTGGTTCAGTATGTATAGCGAGGCACCTCCCTGTGTAGCCATGTAGCTGATTCAAGAAAACGTTTTGTGCATAGTATCAACACGGCGGCAAACCCTTTGTTCAGCAGATTCGTTTGCAATAACATAAATTCTCCAAAATATTTAATTATTTTTAAATGTTTAAGTTGTCAACGTCGAAAGGTGGAGAATGGCTGTGTTATCGTGTACATATTCGTCCCAATTCGTTGAAAATTCCTTACATTATTTTAAATCCAATTTATCAAAACTACAGCTTATATTATAATAAAAGATTCCCAACTTAATCTTATATACCTGTCTATCCAAATTCTTGTACATTCAAAATTAGCTACTTTTATTATTCTACTTTTATTTAATTTTAATTATTTTACTTTCCATATGTTTTATATAAACTTAATATTACTTTGATAAAAGTTATCCAGGCTTTTTTCATTTCACATCCTACTTAAATAAACAATAAGCCGTCCAAGTTCATACCGATAGGCACAAAATCAACATGTCCATTGTCCAAACATAATCCCCTTCTATTTTTATTCTATACCCGTCAGCGTCTACTAGTGAGCGTAGCTCAATCACCGCCAGTGTCTACCTACCCATCACCTCTAATTATCGATCTACCGCAAGGCAAACCTTATACCAGATGCATTGTTTTTAGAAAGTAACCCTCTTATCGTTAATGTCAAACAGTAGGTTAGTAAAACTTGGGAAATCAGTCAGTCATTACAAGACTTAGGTCAGAAATTCTTATGCAATCAGAATTGGCGTTACATACTTTTGACCAATAACAGTAAAGGCGCAGTTCCAGCTCCTCGGCCTCTCAACTATATAAAAAAACCAAGCAGATGCCCCATTGGTATCACATCTGCTCAAGAATAAATACTGGAACTGTCGCCATCAACTCTGTGATTTATATTCTCAACTTTATGTTCTAAGGTAGGCTGGTTCGTCTTGTTCAAATTATTTACATGTGTTCTTATTGTTTAGAAATGTTAGAAGTTAGACCAAATAACTCTGTTTAAATATGCAGTGAAGTTATCTCACTTGGACCGAGTACAGGTAATGTATTTATGTTGTCGTTGTAAAATGTAAGTAATTATTTGGAATGTTTGTGTTTATAACGTTCTATTCAGTGTTGTTGCAATTAATTATAAAATGCAGTTCATATTTTTATAATACTGCTAACATTTATCATTAATTGTATGTCATACTTTGTTGTGAATAGTTGTATTTTAAATGTATTAAACAGATCTCAACATTGTTAAGTTACCGCACATATCGTTAATGTTAGTATTATTAATAATATTGTTAACAGGCTAGTTTAAGGAAATGCCAAGGGCAATACCTATCGTAAGCCTCCAGCTGTTTGAATGTGTACATATCTCAGCCCATATTATTAAAATGCATAAATTTTCATTATCTTGATAGATGCAAATGTGGTAGTCTGTATATCTGTGAAATCTTATGTGTATGTGATTAGTCTCGAGTTTAATTATGTCCTTTCTACTTTCAATATCCAGTTAATTGTAAATGTAAAATGATATCAACTGTAGCCAGTCATCTTCCCGCCATTGTCAACTCTACCATGCTAATTCCCCCAACAATCAATTATCAACTCTATAGGCTTATTCCCTCGAGAAAATTCATTGATTAAATGTTAAATTGATTTAGTTGATAGAGAACAGTTTTTATATAGGTTATTATTAAATGGATTTCATGGTAATATAATGTTCTACAAAGTAAGTATAGCCGTGTAAAGGCATGTGTTAAAGTCGGTAGTAAGTATACTGAAACATTTTGTACTACATCTGGTGTTCGATAAGGGTGCATCATAAGTCCCATATTGTTTATATTTTTCATAAACCAGTTGACTGATGATATAAAGGAAGATTCAGACAGGGTAATATTTGTAAATCAGGATATTGAAGACATTTTACTGCTTTAATTTGCAGATAATGTTGTGTTGGTAGCGGATTCAGTTATCAATCTTCAAAAGCGGCTAAATAGTTTAGAAAATTTCACTAAGAAATTGGGGTTAGAAGTTAATTTAGGTAAGTCAAATGTTGTTGTGTTTAGAAATGGAGGGACCCTCAGAGCTTGTGAAAAATGGTTCTATAAAGGAATTCAGTTATCGGCTGTTACATATTATAAATATTTAGGAATTGTTTTCTCTTCTCGTTTAGTTTGGTCAAAGGTATGTGAAACATTGGCGATCCAGGCTAGAAAGGCTGCTTTTTTCTGTCATTCGAGTATTTTATAAGCTTCCAAATATTTCGTTTCTGTTGCATGTAAACTTTTCGATACTAAAATATTACTAATTTTGACATATGGTTCCGAGATTTGGGAATTTAAATATAACGATAAAATAGAAAAGGTTCAAAGTTGGTATTTTAAAAAATTCATAGGTTTATCTAAATATTCTTCCAGCAATGCGGTTCTCGGAGACTGTTGAAGAAATTATATTTATGTTGAGTGTTTCACAAAAGTTTTAAGACACTGTTAATCCTATATTCTACATTTAGAACACAAGGATTTGATCAGAATTATGTGTAAAGTTAGATGCTCTTCTCACTACTTGAATATTCATAAATTGCGATCCTCAAATGATTTTAATTCCTATTAGAAAGTTTATGTGAAAAATGTGATTTGGCAGTTAAAGAAGATGAGTATCATTTTTTCTTGGTATGCCCGGCATACAGAAATAGTCGCCAACAATTTATTCCATCATATTTTCATAAATTTCCTTCAGAGGATAAGTTTAAATTGTTATGTACATGTACAAAAAAGAATGGCTCTGTTCCTTAAGAGAAATTTAATTTCTTTTTAGTCTGAAACTGAACAAACAAATCATTGTATGACATTTTGTTCCACGCATGCATGCATGTTGTAATGGATGAAATTTCACATTTGTTCTATAAAATATGAATGGAGGCCATGAGGCCCATTATACAGAAATAAACACCCTTCAGAAAAAAATGTAATATAATATAATATCCTATGTACATCTTTATTATTGTAATAACTTGAAATTGTGTATTGAATGTATCTACATCACATCTGTTCAAAAATAAATACTGGAACTGTCGCCATCAACTCTGTGGTTTATATTCTCAACTTTATGTTCTAAGGTTACCCAAATATATGTGAGAGCGCACAGCGCGCGTTCTCAGCTGCATGAGATAAAAGCGACATAAACCCGTTCCATATTCAAAAGAAATCTCTTCGATTGTACGATTCCGACTATATCATGAGCATGTGTTCATGAATCACTATCAAACAGTGATGATACCAGTGTTCACGAAAAGGTGAGCGTATCCTGCCCAACTAGTGGCGCCACACATGCAAAGGCAAGTCATTTGTTTTCCTGAACAAAAAAACATATTGGAGCCCATGGTACACGGCAAAATAGAGAATTGCATCGGCCACCATTCTTGTCACTGAGCCAGCAAATTTGGAAATGTCCTCAACATGTCAAAACTTTACCGAGGCCTTGAACGTTGTAACATTGTAACAACTTCTGAGCAAGAGTCGCATGACGCTCTTTGAAATCTTAGTAGAAAGAGTAGGGTCGATTGAACCTCAAAAGTTGTGAAGTATAAACACCAAGGGCTGAAGCTTAATGAATATTGCTCGATATATAGGGAAAGTTGACTTTTGGAAAGGTGAAGTCACCCTTCTTGTCATACAGTCTTGTGGAGGGTGTTTTGTCACTCTGACTTTTTATGCATAGATCTAAATATGAAACAGATGAGGTGGTCTCACAGGTCTCCTTTATTCTAGTTCAGGTGGGTAAATCAGTTCAGGTAGGTAAACACAGAAAACGTTAAAAAGATTAAGATCATCATTTCACTGTTCATCGGGCTTGGGGCAATCATGCAACCGCTAATAGCTCTTACCCTGTGTGGACCTGGGGTAGAAGGTGTCCTCAGCACCTCATTGCTTGTCGTACGAGGTCACTTAATTGGGCAACCTATTTGCCGTGGGTTGCGCCCCTGTGTCGGTGGAGGACGGGATTCTGGTTGTTTAGGGCATAGGTTCCAGGAATAGTGTTCCTTTGCCCAATACATCACTTCGACCCTTACTTCACCCAGACGGGTAGTAGGATGGGCCCGGGTCTATCAATCGGCTGGTCATGCCAGGCCCTGTGAATTATATTTCATCAGCACATCTATAAAAAGTCTGTCATGAGATTTCATTCATGCTATTGACTTTATTAATTATACTTCTGATGGGTTTTTTTGGCAAATAGATCAATGTCATATTACACTCATACACATGTAGACTTTTTTAAATGTCTATTATGAATCAACAAAATCAACAATTACTAAAATATTTCTATAATTGCCTAGTCTCAATGCCCAGAAGGCGGTGGCTCATGGGACAATCTGGTGGAATACTTTCTTGATGCTTCTACTTGAGTAGGTTGTTGAAGATGCCAAAAGACTACGCAGTGGATGACTGTTGATAAGATGTTCCGGCATAAATTGAACAGCAACAAGGGTATAGTGAGAGACAGAGGTCGTGTCCTTGCTGATATGCCCGAGGATAAAATTTTGGAAGAACTATAAAAGCAAAGTGTCATAGCTGTAAAATGTTTTTCTTCAAAGGGGAATGGTGAGGTCATTAAGACCAATACATACCTCTTCACATTCGACCTTCCAAAAATCCCAAATTCAATCCGTTGTTATATACATCCCTAATCCACTGCGATGCTACAAGTGTCAGCAGTATGGTCATGGTTCAAGATCATGTGTCAAACAACCTGTTTGTCATACATGTAGATGTGGTGGCAACTGTGTGGACAATGTTGCTTGTGAAAAGGATCCCCTATGTGTTAACTGTGGCAGTAACCATTTTTCCTCCAAAGAATGTCCTACATTCAAACGTGAGTCAAAAATTGTTAAATTGAAACATGAAAGAAACATTTCATTTCGTGATGCGAAGAAGATTGTTTTGGATGAAGAACAGTCTCCTCGCGGTTCTTACTCCGCAGCCGTTCCTAGACCAAGTTTTACAACCTGCTCCACAACGTGTTCAACAAGCTGTTTCATGCGTAGCCGTTGGAAGTCAGACGGACTGCATCTAGACCAATACAGAATCTCCTACAGAAATTTCTCTATCTGCGGATTCAACAACCGTTTTGGAAACCGCCAGTTCACAAACAACTTCTCACGACCAATCACCTTCTCAGTCGCCTCCAAGATAGCAATCTGAAACAAATGTAAAACAAGTGATCAAAAACAAAAACAAACCAAATCAGAATCGTCAAAAAAGTATCTAAGTGGCAGGGTGTCAAACAACAAGATCCAACTATTCAACAAGTTTGGATCCCTCGAGGACACGGATGTGTCTGGCAGAAGCCATCTAGATCCACAATTAAAATTCCAAAGAGGTAAATGTCTTCTCATGTTGTACAATGGAACTGTAGAGGACTCAGAAACAATTTTAATGATTTACAACTTTTAACTCAAAATTTCACTCCATCAGCACTATGTTTGCAAGAAACCTACCTAAAATCCAAATTTGATTCACGACGTTATGATTCCTACCAGTGCTTCTCTCCTCCAGGTGTGAAGGCAACTGGAGGATCTTCTATTTTGGTGAGTCAGAGCGCCATTCTCAGCCCTGTTCTGCTCAATACCCCTCTTCGGGCAGTTGCATATCGTATTTACTATATATTCCGCCATCATCTTCTCCACGTCAGTTTGATTTTCAGGCCCTTTATGACCAACTCCCTAAGCCCTGCATTATCATGGGAGATTGCAATGGCCTTAATCCACTTTGGGGCAGTAATAACATCAACACAAAGGATAAGAAACTCGAGTATTTCTTCTCAAATAATGATTTATGTATTTTAAGCGATGGCTCTAACACGTATCTACATTGTGCAACAGATTCATACTCTTCTCTGGATTTATCTGTCGTGGATGCCAATCTATTTAATGAATTCGAGTGGTCAGTCCACAATGACCTTTGTGGAAATGACCATTTTCCAACTGTAATTTCAACCGTAAATCCAACTGATGCCCCATCATCAAGATGGAAATTTACAAAGGCCAATTGGTCTTTATTTCACAAATTATGCACTGAAAGATTAAAAGCCCGAATTATTTCTAAATGTTAATGATCCTATTCAATTTGTTTCTGATGAATTAGATATAATTGCTGATGAATGTATCCCAAAGTCCTCTACGGTTTCACATATCCGTAAACCATGGCTTAACATGGACTGCAAACAAGCTAGAAAGGCTAGGAAGAAGGCAGAAAAATATTTTCGTCGCCATCCAACAGTCCATAACTGAAATCAATTTTAAATGCCAAATGCCAAGGCTCGTCGCACCTTTAAGCAAAATAAACGACAGTCATGGCAAAAATGTCTTTCTCAAATTAATTCACGAACACCTATTTCTAAGGTTTGGAATATGGTTCAGAAAACTAAAGGAAAAGGGTCCAAATCAAGTGTTCGCCAGCTAAAGGAAGATGACACTCTTCTAACAGATAAATCTGATATTGCAAATAAATTAGTTGAAAGATCAGTTAAACATTCCTCAGCATCCAATTATGTACCAAACTTTCAGTAATATAAGGACCAGCAAGAAAAAACGAAAATTATTTTTTAGTCAGATAACGATGACGATTATAATGAAGTATACTGAACAACAAAAGTTCCTGTGACATTGAATAAGATTTATGCAAAGTTATGTTTTTTACCAAATCTAAAACAATTTCGGTTTGCAACAGATAAAAGACTCTTGTAAGTGGTCGAAAGGTTTAATTAGCCATACTGACTTCAGAAAATGCGTGATTTCATAAAAAAAACATGAACATGCCAAAATGTCAATTTACAAATCAATAGCGTGTGAGTCCACCTCTGGCTGCGATTCAAGCAACACATCTTCGTCTCATGGAATGGACCAGGAGTCGCACAAAGTCCTGTGGGATATCTCTCCATATCTGCTGGAGCATGTTTCGAAGTTCCTGGAATGTCTGTGGAACACGTGGTTGACGTCGAAGGCGCCGATCCATTTCATCCCACATGTGCTCGATTGGTGAGAGTTCAGGGGAGCGAGCCGGCCAGGGGATGACATTCACGTTGTTTTGTTGAAGAGAATCCTGAATAAGTCGAACAATTTGAGGCCGGGCGTTTATTTTGAAAGGTAATGCCTGGGCCATGACGACGCAAAAACGGTAGAACAACAGGGCCGATGATCTCGTCGCGGTAGCGCTGTCCATTGAGATTTCCCACTACCAGTATCAAACGGGTCCTCTGCCTTGCTGTAATCCCACCCCATACCATAACGCTGCCGCCCCCGAACCAATCTTCTTCCATGACACAATGATTGACGTAACGTTCACCTCGACGTCGGTACACTCGAATCCGTCAATCGCTGTGGCTGAGGTGAAAACGAGACTCGTCAGTGAATAGAACTTGTACCCACTGCATGGCCGTCCAGCGTAGACGATGTCTGCACCACTGTAGACGTGCTTGACGGTGGTTTCCTGTCAAAATGGGACGTCTGGTGGGTCTTCTGGCGACAATCCCAGAACATCTGAGGCGAAGACGTACGGTTTGTGAAGGTATTCGTCGAAGGCCAGGAATGCTTCTTGCAGTCACTGTTGCTGGCTGGAATCGATTTCGTAGGTGTGTTGTTCGAATCCAGTTGCCTTGTCGATTATTGGTTACGCGTGGCCTGGCACTCCGAGGATGGTCTCGGACTGCATTCGTCTATTGCCAACGTTGCCATAAACACCAAATGGTGTTTTTGTCGACGTTAAATTGTCTTGCAACATCACGTTGACTCGATCCTGCTTCAAGCATACCAATGGCCCGCAGACGCTCATTTTCGGACAGGCGTGGCATTTCGTAATGTTGAATAATTGCGTAATTTTGTTGTTTTTCTGAGTGGTTGTTGTCAGCACGATGCTAAACAATGCATATGGAATCCCGTCAAAGCAAATGTTTTTATACCCATTCTTGGGTAGTGAAATGCATGGGACTTCCATAAAAGTCAACTTTTGCATGGAATGCATGCTTTTCTGTAGCAGTTGCGTTTTTGTAACTTGATTCCATACATGTACTACAATATTGAAAACCAAACTTTACTTGTTTGAAAAATACACTAAAATATTGGTGTCACGGGTAATTTTGT